CGGAGGTCTTGGGTTGGCGCCAAATACCAACGCTTTCTTTGTCCCACCGGCGAGAGGTTCCGGATGAGGTTTGGGACCTTATGATGTGTGGGCTGTTCTATAGAGCGTCGGGGGTGTTGACCTTGGTGGCGACGTACCACCCGAACCTGGACTTTGCCACTATCTGCAGCGGGTATGCTGACGGCCTGAGCACGGAGGACATCCAAACGCTCAGGGAGAGCTTGCTGCCGCACGCAAGGTTGGTGGTAGAGCAAGTCTCTACGTAGTGGGTGATGGACGTCCATCGTGAAGACATGGCCAGAAGCATGCGTCGGGAGGATGTCGCCCAGCCTGCGGATGGCATGGAGCCTGGGTCGGAGGTGGACACCGCCCCGGCTTCGACTGAGCCAAATGTTGTCCCACTAGGGAGTGAGCAGCCCGCGCCTTCGCCGATCGTACCGACAGCAGATGCCGTCGAGCTGCCCCAATAGCTTGTAAAGTATAAGTAGTGTAGTAAACGTAAAAAGTTTAAGTTCGTGGGAGAGTCCCCGTGTAAACACTTTTGTGTACTTAATGACTACAATTGGTTTCTCTTTTGTGATGGAGTCAATCCGTTCGGGGAAGCTTGTCCCTTTCGTTCCTTAGTTTTTCCTTAGCATAATTTTGTTTTTATTCTTTCTTCTCGTACTTGCCTGTTTGTCCCATAGGCTACAACCTTGGGAGCCAGGGGTGTGTCCGTGAGGCTCAATTGCTTGTAACCATAGCTAAAGGCGGGGTGTGATTGGTTGGAATGTTTTGAAGCAAAGTTACGTAAGGCAAATTAAAGGAACGAACTACCCTTTTGTTCAGGTAGGAAGGAGTTTCACCATATGATAGTAAACAAAAGAGAGAGGTGGTAGTGCACCCTCGTGGAGCCCCCAAGCGACCTAGGCCGAAAAGTGTTCAGGTCGGGGTGCTCTTATCGGAGCAAACGCTAAGTAAATAATGGTAAGACTAAATTTTAGGGGAAGAAAAACGACATAGCTGTTCCAAGCGTTCGGTGAGAATGTCGTCGTTGTCGTTCTTCAGTCGGTAGGCGTCCGGTCGGACCACTTCAACCTTCAGTCGTCTGGATCCTTGTCCGCTACGCCCCCTTTCTTGGCCGCTGCTTCTTCGCCTTTTCTTCCTTTGGCCCGCTGGCCTGTTGCAGAAGGTGCTTGAGGAGCTCGTAGTCCTTATAGAGGTGTTTGACGGGGTAGTTGTGGAGGGTTCTGCTAGGGCTGCTTGCCCGTGTGATCAGTCGTGGCGAACAACACAGAGTTGGCCGGTCGGCGGCGATCTTTTTTGTTCTTTTTCCCTTCTGCGTGGGGCCCTCGTCCTGATCCTAGCGCATGGTCTTGCCTTTGCCTCGGCCTCCGTTGGAGCACGGCAGGAGCGGCGCTCACTGGAAGTGTTGGACAAAGGTCCGTGGTCCCGGGCCATCAGGGCTGGGACTCCGGCAGCTGCTGCGTGTGTCTCGGTTCGGCCCGAGCCACGCGTATATAGGCGGTCGGTGTGGACCGGTCGTCAAGTCAAGACGAGACGCAGGTGCAGCCTCTTGTGCCGCGTTTGGCGGTTGTAGCGGTGAGCAGGTGGAGCGACTCGTCCGCTGTGTCCCCATTCCCCTGGTGGGGAGTGAGGCCACGAGTCGGTGTCGCGATACGGAGGTCTCCGCTTGTTGAACGGCGGCAGTCTCCACTAGTGCCCAAAGGTTCCGGAGGATCGCCTGTTTCTGAGGGTCGTTCGGCTTGGGTAGGCCACGCAGAAGCATTGCCGCAGTAGCGATGTTCTGATTGACCTGAGCGAACTATGGGGGATCGTTCCCCCTATCCATGGTGTTGCGCTAGACCCGACAGGCGCGACCCCGGGCGCCGCTCGCCGGTCTATGCGCATGGGGCGCAGTGTGTTGCACCGAGCGCGCTGGCGCAGTCGATAGCTGGTGCAGCCACTGTTGTCGTAGTTCGTTGCCGTGCTCCCGTGTGAGCTCGAGGGTCTCCGCATGAGGATCCAGAGGGGCGTGAGTCTGCAAGGACTCCGTTACCACCGGTGGTTGTCGCGGAGAGTCCGCCATAGCGCACTCCCGGGACGGACAATGGCTAGGCACCACGTCGCTGATGCTGGAGCCATCACTCTCAACATCGTCATCCATGAGGCCGAGGAAACAGATGGGAGCATAGCTCGCCATCCCCATGAATTCGGACGTGAGAGGGGGCGGCGCCGGCATCCTTCGGAGCTCCCGGGCGTACGCGTCCACAGGAGACGCGAGGCCGTAGGGGAACCGGTCGTATGGCGGTCGCGGCGGGGACAACGAGGTCCCTCCGGGTAATCAGCGGAAGATAGAGAATAGTAAGTAAATAACAGCATGTACATTACTCACAACAGGGTTTGAGCAGAGAGTTTGCTCGGAATGAAGTGCGAATGCCGCGTCGTCGAAGTCGTGCATCCCGGAGTCGATGGAGGGCGCCCCTCTTACGGGTGCCGGTTGGCGACGAAGTCCAGGCTTTCAAGGAGGAAGGCCTGGGATGGCTCGAAGACGGGTGGAACCCGCATCCCAACCAGTGGGAGAGTGGGAAACTCGAGTGAGCTGAAGCGAATCATATCGCCTGAGCCCACCATGGCGAAGGTGGCGGCGAAAAGTGGGCCATCCGATGACCACAAAGTGTTGAACGTACGTCGCCTTCCCCCACGGACGGCGCCAACTATCGGTGCGTGCGAAGTGACCAACAAGTAAATATTTATAGTTTTGCCATACGCCAGATCGGAGGTGGCCTAGCACTCAATGACACAGGGTTTATACTGGTTCAAGCAACGTGCCCTACGTCTAGTTTGAGTCGGTCGGTGACTTTATTCCTGAGCCCAGGTGCTCGAAGTTTGCAGTGAGGTTACAAACGAGAAGGAGAAAGATAGGGTGTACAAGAGGTCCGATCGGCTCCGGTCGGAAGGACCGAGAGCGACAGGAGCTCCGCTATGAGCTAAGTGTTCAAGCGTGTGCTTGAGGTCCGAACCTAGCGGTTCTGTGGTTGTGAGCTAGTGAACTTGATTGATCTAATGAATCTAGAATCACTTGAATCGACCTGGGTTAATCGAGTCTCTTGAAGAGAGCGCATCCCTTTTATAGATGAAGGAGATGGCCTTACAAGTGAGAGGGAGAGAGTACGTATGCTTCTAAACTTTGTTGCCCACGCCCGGTAGGTACATGTGGGATGATGGTAGGCGTCCACAACACTTTGTTGGATGTCGATGCACGTGGAAGGTTACGCTGTCTTTGTTCGGGTATGGCGTATGTCGGTACTCAGATATATTGTTGATGCCCAAAGGCATGTGAGGAGTTTCACCATGTTCACTCGGTACGGTAAATCCCGGCGCCCACAACACTGTCGATGCCCAGAGGCATGTGGGGGAGCCTTACCATATGGGAGTTAATGGCGCCCACAATACTGTAGGGGAAAATATCGGCGTCTACAACATTGTTTGTGTCAGGGAGGTTGCAGAGTACTGTTTCTACAGGTGTACAGGGTATTGTTCTTGGTATTGAGGTTTGACTTGTGTGCCCTGTCTTACTTTCTCCGTCTGTTTTCTGGTACTTTCTGAGCGGGTGTCCCCGGTCGGTTGGTCCCAACCAGCTCTAATTGCGCCAGTCGGAGAAGAGCAGTGAGCAAGGTATTCGCAAACCCCGGTCGGAGACATAGGGTCGGAGTCGGAAGTAGTGCTTTGCCCAGCCTTCCGGTTGGAGAGGCTGTCCGGAGATTTAGGCCGAGACCGGCGAAGCGCCCCGTCGGAGAGGTGGGTTGGAGTCGGAAGGCGGGTGCCGTTCCTCCTCGGCCAGGCCTTCCGGTCGGTGATTGGATCGCCCTCCTGGCCTGTCGTTCTGATACTTGGGCTGGCCCACGAGTTGCGCGTTGTCTGTTTGGGTCGAGCCTTTGTTGAGAAGCCGATCCGCGAGGGACCCCGGATTTATGAACCCGACACTGCCTTAGCTAGTTCCTTTGATGGAGAGCGGAATAGCAAGTCCAACTGTTTAATAATCAGTAGCAGGCTAGCAGCCGGCCGAGTTGGAAACTTTTGAAAGTCAAGCTCATGACCCTGGTGTAGCATTGGTTTCTTTATTTTGTCCCCCACTGTTGCTGTATCGATCAATGACGGAGCAGCAATGATTCAAAACTGGGAACGAATTGAAATTCGATTCCACCGGTACGTATTTAGTTATTACCATGATCGGAGAATGAAGCTCACTTCAAATAATTAGGTGCGTGTTATACAAGTTGTTTATATAAACACGTCACGTGAAAAATTCAAGTTGGTCATTGCAGCTTCAATACATATGCATCCTGATTTGCCGACATCCTGTCAAAATGGAACTGGAAAGTGACAGCTATATAAACTCCGGCCACTTGACAGCTTGAGCATCACGAACACTACGTCATTCACGTGGCAAAGAAAGTGTCTGCCTCGTGGTCACGGTGCAGTACTACGTTTCCAAGGGAAAAACGAAAGAAAGTGCACCGAGATGCTGACATCCAGGCCAAACCAAACCCCGCGCGGACTCGCGGAAGCACGGGCAAACCGCTCGCGTCCGCGATCGCTGCCATTGACCGAGCGCCCTGCCCGTCTCACCTGGCCAGGTGTCCTAGTCCTACAATAGCCTTGGCCCCCAAGCCTTGCCAGCAGCCGCCGGTCAGCCGGTGCAAGCGCAAGCGCGCGACAACTTCTCGGCGCCTTCCGTCCCGCCGGTCCGTCGCCGCGTCAACCATCCTTGTATGGATGAACGAACTGGAGTCGTATATATATGCTCGAGCTCCCCACTTTCGACTTACGAGTGCTCACTCGCTACATACACACACGGCACACCGGCAAGCTTGCCAACCGGGTTGCATCCACGCATCGAGAAATTAAACAGCATGGCGCAAGGTTCCGACGAAGGCGCCGGCGCAGCGCACGCGTCGTGGCCGAGCGGCGCCGACGCCGACACACCGGTGGCGCCCACGGCGGGTGCGGCCGCCGCCATGACGCTCGGCAGCATCCTCACCGTTGCAGGCATCCTCCTGCTCTTCGTCATCTTCGCCTTCGTCCTCGCCTCCCTCCAGTACTGCTTCAACGCCAGCAGGGACAGGGACGCAGGGAGCGGGCGGCGGCGCCGTGGTCCGCGGCCGGCCGCCGGTGGTAGCAGCGGTGGGACACGGGCCAGCAGGGCGTCGACCCGGATCTGCTGCGCTCGCTGCCTGTCACGGTGTACCACGGTTCGGACAAGGGGCAGCGGTACGCGGTGGAGTGCGCCGTGTGCCTCGCCGAGCTCCAGGACGGCGAGGAGGCCCGGTTCTTGCCCCGCTGCGGCCACGGCTTCCACGCAGAGTGCGTCGACATGTGGCTCGCCTCCCACACCACCTGCCCGCTCTGCCGCCTCACCGTCTCCAAGCCCGACGACGTATCTCCTCATCTGGCGCCTTCCTTGGCTCTCCCACCGGTCGCGCCGGAGCCCGCGAACTACGCCACCGTCAACCTCCCCGCCAGCGTGCTTCTCGGGGTGTCTGACCACGGCGCGGTCACTGCGGAGACTATGACCACCGACGTCCCCACGAACCCATCCACCTTGGTGATCGAGATCCCGGAGCTGGCCGTGCCGACGCCGACGCTGACCCCGTGCGACGCTGCCAAGTCACCGGGCTCGGCGAGGCTGAGATCGTTCAGGAGGCTGTGGAGCTTCGGAAGGCAAGGGGCCGGAGCGACTCCTTCCTGCTCCTGTGCCGGTGCCGGCGCCAGCGAAGGAGTCGACTTGGAGCAGGGTATCAGCTAGCCTTACCGATTTACCGTTACCATAGCACAGCAACGGAACAGGACATGCGGCCGACCGGCCAGCCGGAGAGCAGCACGAATTTCTGCGCTCTCTGCAATGGTGCACATGTATATTCAATTAATGTACCATTTCTTAGTTTTAGAATATGTACATTCGTTTTCTTTTGGAATTCACACTTTCGTCTCAGTTCTTGTTCATCGTTCTCCATTGATCCATTAATTAAAGGCGCAAAAAAAAACATAAAAGAAATGTTTATCATGTTTTCATTTTACTTGAAAAGAAAAAACATGCCTCCTTCATGGAACTCGATAGTTATGATAGAGGCTGGAACATTTGTACCATTATCTAAAAAAATGGAACTCGATAGCTACATTCTTATACAGTGCTAGTTATCATCCATGACTGAGTTGGTAGCAATTGTGCCATTTCAGAGGTGAAGAAACATGGCATCCAAATTGTAGTTGAGTTGCCCTTTCTCCAGATTTAAAATGTTAAGTAGAGGTGCAATCAAATCGTATGCCATTGAGCATCGCTGAACCATACTTGATTTCACATTTTCTGTCATAATCAGATATATAGATAATATCAGATACAGATATGGCCACATATGGTCTACATTACAAATGTAAATAAATAAATAATTACGTATCAAATATGGGACGAGCAATGCCTATTTGAAATATTTTTTCACACACAGAGTAAAAGCAACAACTATATCAAGGTTCACAATTTCACCGAAGTTTCACAAATTTCGGTAATTTCGAAAGTGGCTGAAAGAAAAATCTGAAATTTCGCATTACACCAATGCATGTGCTATATAACTCTAGACTCATATTTTCTATTGTTTATATTGCGTATTCTTCTACCTAATAGATGCATAGTCATAAATCATGCTAATATTTTGTTTAGATTTGTTTTCTAGAAAAACATACTTCATGTCTAAGCCTCTAAAAAAATTCGGAGAAATTTTGGCCAAATTTCGGTGGTGATCGAAACTTTTCTAATTACGTCATATATATTTTTTTATGATCTGACCACTCTACAAGTCCATCCAGCAATATAAATCACAAGTTGCATAGATATAAATAGTTAGATATGTATAAATGCTTGACCACATGGCATTCTAACATATTAAAAAGAAAAAAATTATAGATGGTCGCAAAGAGGCATAGTAATCAATCAACTAGTCAAATTTAAACTTTTATGATGTTCTTGTACTTAAAACCTGTGCTTAAATTTTATTCAAGCCCCTAAATTTTTTTCTCAAAATTGAAACTTCAGTTAAATAAGTTACATTAACTTGACTATTTGCATATTTTGTTTTACTTCAAAGTTATAAGGAATGCTTAAGTAAATTGAAAAATTAAAGTTTGTTGGTATCTCGAGTGTCGTATCTATAAAATTTTAGAGAAAAATAAGAAAGTCCACTTCAGTCACCGAGCTGAAAATTGCCTGGGCCTGCAGAACACGTCTCGTTGATGTCTAATGCAACTATTCGAATTCAATACCCAACCTAACTATTCAAATTATCGGGTATCAAATACATGATGGTACTGCCCCTCCTTATATTCAAATATGGAACATCTGGAAAAAATATTCAAATATGGTACTAAAAAAACTATAAAAAAAATTTAGTTCCAAATTATTTATTTTTCTAGAGCTCGCATCTGGAGATTGACGAAACCATCACATACAGCTCGTTGTCAACATCATATCGCTTATCAGTAAAAAATAACATCATTAAATCTCGAAATAAATATAACAATGAACACTCATGCCAAATCAATGGCTTAAACCTGTACTTACCTACAAGTACCCAACTTTGGCGCTACCATCATATTTAATTATTTATTGACTTCGCCAAGAGAGATTCTATGACCGGCTAACACAACGCATTGATGTGAGCGACGCGAGTGTCAAATTCCTCTCTTACCACGTCTTTGCTGATGTATGCTGATCTTCCTTGGTCCGTCAAGTCAACAAGCAGCCAGATTGCAACGTGACCCGGGCGGGCGGATGCATTGCACGCACGGCGCATCTCATGATCCTCGTGTTAGCTTTTTTTTGTCCACGTCGTTTGCAGTGTCAAGTTTAACAGGCCGAACCAAGCGACGACAAATGATAAATCGGTTGGCCAGTTGGGCACTCCTTCGTTCGATCAATTAGTTCAGTTTATATAAGCGTGCCCGTGTGTTGCTACCGGATAGCTAATATTTTATATAAAAAATACACGGATTGCACGATAAGATAACAATATTGTAAAAATTAAATGACAATGTTAAAGTAACATTTAATCAAAAAGCAAAGTTTATGAATTTAACATAGTCACGGAGTGCGCGGCGTCGCAGTCTCACAAACTCTACTTTATAGACCTTTCCGTGACGTGGCTAAGATAATGTTTTATATTGGCAGGAAGAAATCACCGATATCCATTTCTTTCGTGCTCACAAACTAATGACCCTGGTGCAACAAAGGGAAATACAAAGGAGCTATCCTCCTGAATGCGCGGAACCAACGTCACTCTGATCGTGGCATCCCACGACCACTGGTATGGTGTTGTTTAGCACTATTGTTCATTATTATCGCTAACTTGCTTCATTTGTTTTATTCAAGTAATTTATGTTTGTAATTATGCTGGTGCTAATTCGATTGATCCCACATTGGCACATAAGAAAAGTGGGGAAAGTCGACAAAACTCATGGTTTTGAGAACATACACGTGTAATAGTTATGAATGGTTACAAAATGAAATATTATGAACAAAACACTCAACTGCGAGGCAGAGCGACGTAGGAGATTAGGACGCGTGGACAGACGTAGCGACGATTGTCGCACGAAACGGTGGCCTTACTTTTTTTCTTTTTAGATGTAGGAGAATATGAGTGCTAGCCATAAGAAAGTTTTTGAAGGTATAATGCGCATCACTTATTGTCATTGACTTATTGCACATATGGCTACTATGCTTATACATAAAGGATTTGTTTGGTACCCTGATCTGACTTGGAGCACAAATATTTTAAAGCGTGGAGATAAACATGTAGTGTACACAAGAGTGACAACGTTTAAAAGTCCACAAACGTGTTGCCATGTCCTGTTGGTGCACTGAATATAGCCTCGTTCATGTTGCAAAATGATGAGCCGTTTTTGTTCATCCATATCTGTAGCATTAGGAACAGGGTCATTTTGATATTATTATTCATATTTGAAGCATTAGAAAGAGAGCTATTTTCATATTGCTTCCAAATATGCATACTTGTTAACAGGCAAAGAAGCTGTTTACTATGGCACTGTGTAAGCAGAGTCAAAGAAGAAGAAAAAAAATAAGTGATAATGTAGGAAATATGAGTGGGCCTTTGGTTACTTCTGCTGCTGATTGGATATGGTGTTTAGGTTCTACGCTCGTGGCTCTGCAAATGATGTATGACACGATGAAATCTATAGGTAAAAAATTCCTTTTGGCTATGGATCTGTAAATGATATGTAAAATTAAGAACCTCCACATAGAAGTAAATATGTTTCTTTGTGTATATGTTTGCCTGTACCATAGTATGCAGTTGTGTATTATAACGTTTGAGGATCTTACTTCTTCATGGGGGATTCTGTGAAGGAGACATGGTTTTTTTGGGGCGCGGTTTGGATAGCCTTTGTTGTATACGTTTTTTCAGCGCTTCTTTTGTCCTGCATAGTTGAAATAGGATATTAAGATTAAGTGCAGACCATATAAAGACACGGAAAAGGAGAAGGAAAAAACTCTGAAGCGATCACATCTAAATAGGCACATTATTGTTGGACAGCAAATGTGCTGAACTTTGAAAAAAATCAGTGTGGGAGTTGATTGGATTACATGTTCACTGTTAGATATGATAAGTACTACCATTTGCACTCTCCTGTAAATATAGGAAACATGGTTTTCTAAATGGTTAGCTTTCAGAAGGCATTCCACATAGATTCGTTGTATGTATGGGGCTATCAGTGGTTCTCTTTAACAATATGTGGTTGCCAAATAGAAGCTATTTAGTTTTTTGTGCATAGATCGAATCATTAACAATCTGTCTTAACACGAAATTGTAGACAGTCTGTACCGAAATTCCAACAAAATCGATTGTATCGTTGATAGAAATCATTTGGCTGGTTTTTTTGCAAAATGACCTTAACCATCTCTTATGCCAAGTATAGTTGCTGGAGTAGCTGCAATCTGTCTGGTTGTTTCAGCAGTAGAAGCTTTGCAGAGGAAGGAATTTAGCAAATAAATTGTGCCACAAAGTAAAAACACAAAGGAATTAACAAAATAGGCCTCACTCATACCAATATTCATAAGAGTTTGGTAACCCTCTTTTTTTCGCTACCTAGGTAGTGAGTGACCTGTAAGGAGATAAAGCAGGACAACAAAAAATCATACCAGCCAATAGCAAGCATTGCAGCAAGTCCTTCGACCTTGTCTGAATGCTCATTCATTGTTGCCTTTGAAAATCTTAACCTACAGGAATTGACGAACTAACAAATATTTAGATGTTGCAGGCATAAGTGACGACAAAATAACAGATGTAAGAATTACTATTCTATATTAGCAAAAAGACTATTGCTACTATTCTGAATAAACAGGTGAAGAGAATGATAGAAAGTTTGGTGATCCAGAGTATGCTATCTATTACATGACATAAATCAAAGTGTGCAGTCATTTATGAAAATAAGCCTAGCGTTTCGGTAAGCAGCACATTGGAAGTCTAAAGTTGGGATATTTTGTTGTGTTCGTAAGGAAACAAATGTGACACTGCAAGAGTTCAAATCCAATCTTCCTTTTTTGAACTGACTGATTAACATACGGATAGTTTGCAATAATATGTAGTAGGATGGGTCATGTTTGAGACAGTTGACAGGTCACAATAGGTATGAATCAGTGAACTAATATGGTGGTTTTGCTCTGCATAGTTGAACTCTAGAAAGATCTACTTTAGGTGGTTATACCTTACTCTACGTCTTCATGAAGGCACTGCATAGGTCTCTAAAATTGAATCTTAGATATGGCATTTGTTAAACTATCACAGTCACATTTGTATCAAACACATCAAGTCGATGAAGGGAAATGGAAAGGCCGCTGTAACCTTGACCTGAAACTTTTTTTTGTACCGAAAGAAACACAGAAAATTCGAAACATAACTGTCCCACAAACAAATATATCATTAACACTGATTACATGAAGGTAAGTGCATATCGACAGGCTGTAGGGTCTGTCATGGGCAGAATGATGTATATATATTAATTATTAGTTCAGAAGATAGGTATGTCGAGCTGTCTCGCTAAAACAAGGAACATAATTATGCAGAGTGACTAAAGAGGTAAAATACGAAGATAGACAAAGAAGTAATTGTCCTCCTGATGCCTGCAAGTAGTATGAAGGCAACAAATTTGAAAACTGAGACAGAAATACCAAACATTTATCTGAGTTTGGTTACTGCCATTTCCTAGGATATATAACTATCCTACGAACACCATGGGAGATGATTTATGTCATGACAAACAGAACAAACCCGTGACGGGTTCCCAACCCATAGCTCTTACGGAATTCAACAATTATTTTGTCGGCAGTTTCACATGCACTTCTAATCATGTCTATTCTAACCTCGAAGGAACGATGCCAGGTTCATTCTAATTATAGATAGCTGAGAAATGAAGTTGGCAACACATGCTATATGTTTTCATTCTTCATACTAAATTGGTCACCTTTAATTTTTGAAACTGTGTAGGCACCGGTAGATTAGTTATTCCAGTCAAGAGTCACTCCCTCTTCGTAGTTTCGTCAACTTCCATCTCAGCGAGCAGTTTTGACGACAACAATACAGGTAGTACTGCAACATTCATACTAAGTTGATAAGGATCATGTTGCAACGTTAATAGCAAATAACTATACAAACCATTGAAAGCATGCCAAAATGGGTATACTAAATTGCAATGGACAACAAACGATTAGAGCGACCATTTCTATATTCTAATATTTTTTTTTGTTGGGGCCTTTCCATTGCATTTACTTATGTCAGAAAAACCTGTCGGGAAATTAAATGGAACAAAATTGAGTTAGTAAAAAAGGAAAAGCACGCCTAAAAGTAAAGTTGATAAAGCAAGGCACGATTGAGAACCAAGAGGAGCACCTGACATGGCATCATTTCGTTCCCCATACACACCTCGATTAAGAACCAAGAGGAGCACCTGACATGGCATCATTTCATTCCCCATCCACACCTCTGCTGGACCCATGCCCAGCTTCAACTTCAAGTTCTGGACCCATGCCGCTGTCCATGAGCACACATAGTTCAGATACATCGATTCAACCAAGAAATTGGCAAAAAAATTGTGGGGAAATTTTCCGAATGAATCCCCAAAGCAGGGGCAGGACAATAGGCCAACCGACTACAGGCAGCAGGGCCAGAGGCACCGCACGCGGCCGCTGCCTGTTGCTGTCGTCCGCCTGTTGCCTCCTCGCGCTGACCAAGCGCGCATAGCGCACCAGCGGACAGGGGCCAGCAGGCAAATGTAGGCGCGCAGCGCAGGCAGCCACATGCTATAGGCCAGCCACGGCAGCACAGATGTTTGCTGCAACCCGCACGTCGGCACCCGCGCATCCACGAGGGAGAAGAGATGGGGGTGACATACTGCTAGATCGAGATGACGAGCTGAGACGACGCTGCGGCCGTTGGCAGCGACGAAGGAGCAGCTAGGGTTTCGTCGAGCACGCGCGGACCGACGGGAGGAGGCAGCGAGGGGGGGAGGAGGAGGAGGCGGACCGGGGGGCACGCGCCGGCGACCAAGGGCGTGAGGGGGAGGAGGTGGAGGCGGAGGGGAGCGCGTGATGCGGTATCACAAGGGGGAGGGGCGGACCGACAGAGCGACGACGATTGTCGCACGAAACGGTGGTCTTACTTTCTTTCTTTTTAGTTGTAGGTGACTAGGAACAAGGCAGTTCAACTCGTCATTGGTTTTCAACCGGTCAAATGAAAGTTGTTTCCTTTAGTCATCTCAAAACGTAAATGACCATTTGGCATGCCATATTTTGCGAATTTAGATTTTTACATGGAGGGAAGTTATCCACAATCTTATTCTTTCACTTTTTGTCAAAATATATACGTTAATTTTGAGGGGGGGGGGAATGTTGCCACGGCGCCTCTGAGTTTGGTCGTTGGACTGCACTTCTGCTGGTTGGACAGGAGTCATCAACCCTTCACGTGCCAGGATTTATATCAAATCCATAGCCCAAATAAAACCAGGCAGCGCTCTGCAGTTGCTAAACGCCAGCGGTTGATGTTGACAAGCGATCTCCACAGCGCCAGTCAACCGCCCGTGTTCGTGGATTCAAGTGTCCCCCTCTTTCGGTCTCACCGCCGCCACTGACCGGCCGGCCGCCACTGACCGGCCGGCCGGCCATGCCTGGCCGGGCGAGCAAAACACCAGCAAAAGCCTCCTTCTCGGTGCCTTCTCTCTCTTTGCCTTGCCTGCTTCATGCTAACGAAGCCCACGCTCCTCGTCGCATCAACGCCGCTGTCTGTTTGTCCCCGTCGTCACGGCAATGCTCGCTGCTCGGACACTTTGTGCATCCCACATTGGTCCTCCCCCCGTATATCTGTGCGAGCCCTCTGACTCTGAGTGCCCGACCTACACTACACTTGCGCTTCGCCGCACCACTGAAAGGGTCGTCTGACCGAGCATTGCGACGCACCAGCACCAAGGCGCCACCGATGTGTCGTCGCTGTCATGGCCGAGCGCTGGCCCTCCCATGGCAGCGCCAGCGGCGTTGGCCGCGGGTGGCGCCATGACGGCCGGCGGCGCCATCACCGTGGCCAGTGCCATCGTCATCTTTGTGGCCATCTCCATCGGATTCAAACGTAGGGGGGCATGGTGTTTGCGAAGATTTAGGATTCAAATATTGGGGGCCAAGGTATCAGCAAAGATTTTTTTTAGAGACTCATAGCCAACAATCTTTAATAGAGTTAGAACTTAGCCATGTCAAATAGAAACAATAAGAGTGAAAAAATATGACAGCAAATAATAATAAAGGCAAATGAGCTACATATCTATTCCAGAAAGTACATTCATCTAATGAAGAAAAAAATTAAGGTACAGAAGTCTACAAGCAACTGTATATCCATTTAGGGGGTGTTTGGTTCCTTAGACCAGATTTTAGTCCCTGTCCTATCGAATGGTTGGACACATGCATGGAGTATTAAATATAGATTAAAAAAATAACTAATTACACAGATTGCGACTAATTTGCGAGACGAATTTTTTAAGCCTAGTTAGTCCATGATTTGATAATGTGGTGCTACAGTAAATATGTGCTAATGATGGATTAATTAGGCTTAATAGATTCATCTCATAAATTAGTCTACTCTTGTGTAATTAGTTTTTTAATTAGCTCATATTTAGTCCTCCTAGTTAGCATCCGAACGTCCGATGTGATATGGACTAAACTTTAGCCTCTGGATCCAAACACCCCCTTAGTAGATCAATTCATAGCGTTTGTGCTAAATATAGGTAGACATGCATATGGACAAGGGAGCTGAAGGAAAGCCACACGATTACCACCAAGGCACCCATGCAGACTATACTGGAGGGGCAAACTGCATGCACTAATTACCATCATTAGCTGCTAAACATGAGATTATATGGCAGTGTACGGTAGACCAAACAGAATATTGGGGGTGCCTAGCCGCAGCCCACCCCCACCGCACCCCCCCCCCCCCCCCCACCCTCCATCCGCAACTGCCTGCAGTACCGCTTCGACGCGTGGGACGGCGAAAGCCACGGCGCCCTGCCGCGGCCGCCGTGGCGACGGGACGGCGGGTTCGAATGGTGCCACCCGGACTCGGGGCGTCGACCCGGAGCTGCTGCGCTCCCTGCCCGTCACGGTGTACGTGTACCGCGCCGCTGTGCCGGGTTCCAAGGTGGACGCGGAGCTCGAGGACGGCGAGGAGGCGCGGTTCTTGCCCTGCTGTGGCCACGGCTTCCACGCCGAGTGCGTCGACATGTGGCTGGCGTCCCACACTACCTGCCCGCTCTGCCGGCTCACCGTCTCCAAGCCCGACCCCGACTCGTCTCAAACCCCAACGCCAGCCTCGGCTCTTCGTCCGCTCCCTCCAGAGCCGGCGAACCTGCCCAGGAGTGTGCTTCTCGGGGTCTCCGACCAGGGCGCGGTCACCGCGGTGAACATGACCAGCGACGACGGAGATGACACGACCGCTTCGGCTTCCACTGCCGCTGCGCCCGTTCCGGTGATCGAGATTCCTGAGTTGGCGCCCGTGCCGACGCCGACCCCGCGCGACGCGGCCAAGTCGTCGCCGGTCTCAGCGAGGCCGAGGTCGTTTCGGAGGCTGTGGAGCTTCGGAAGGCAAGGCCCGAGCTCGAGCTCCTCCTGCACCTGCGGCGGCGCCGGCGAAGTAGCCGACGTGGAGCAGGGCATCAGCGTTACCGTCGGCATGGCCGTCGCGGAAGCGCAGCTGCCATCAGAGGCCACGCGGCCGGTGCGGCCCAGGGATCTGCTGTGTAGCGACGGACCCCCGGACGTGCGTCAGGCCGACTAACCGGAGAGCAACTACAGCTTTCAGATACCTGTGCATATGTACACTCTGTAGCGTTGAATTCGAGCTACCCTATTTTGTTTTATTTAATTTGTGGTAATTGTACGCTCTTTGTATTACATTTACACAGTACAAGTCTAGAACTAGGCTCAGCGTAAAATCAATGATTTAACCCATAGGTTTCAACATAAAAAACTAACCGATTAAGCAACTTTCAGTTTGCCTCTTCAAATCGAGTTTATAGATACGGTGCATTGTTTCTATAAAACAACGGAACTATCTCCACTTTCAGTCTTTCACCATGGATCAAATCAAAATTCAGTCAAATACTATCGAGTCCTTCAGCACCCACTCTAATCCATGTAAAAGAGCAAGTATAGTAAGACCTATTCAGCAAGATGAAAAGTTATCCATCTCCCAAAAATAAAAATAAAAAAATGAAATGAGTACTCAGCTCTCTCTCTCTCTCTCTCTCTCTCTCTCTCTCTTAAAAAAAATCTATGTGTTGGGCTCTATTTGGAGTTATTTGTATTTTATTTATCCTTAGTCCTAGTGTTTTATTGTTTGCAGTCATGTTCGTTACTTATCTAAATTATCATATTGGTACTATATTAAACATGGGATTGACCAAGAGAATCCTTAGCAAACTACGTTTAAACGAGAATTTACAGATGGCACCAATCTTGCAGGTGCTATGCTCTACTACATGTAGATCATATTTGTGCATTACAACTAGTATTGACATTGCTAGCCCTCCAAAATAATTTAGTTAATTTGTCGGCAACATATTTGGTACTCAATTTGGAGTATGGATTCTCTTGGTCGATATCTTAATTTAGTACAACACAAAATGATGACTTAAATAAATATCCGAAGAACTCTAAATCTAGGACCAACAGAGACTTCTTTGTTAAAATATTTTGGTACTAGTTTCATGTTTGTCTCAATTCCAAAATGAATTAGTTATGAATTCTTAATAAATAAACCAAAGTTTTATTTTTTTGAAAAATACAAAACCACATTTGAAGTAAGCTAGAACACAAAGTTTAGAGTTGCATGGACAAAAACATATTTATAAGAATAAGAATTGTATAGAAAAAATAAAGTTCTCCTTTTTACTGACCATTGATTTAGGGATTGGACTATTGGTGTGATTGCTTCGGCAAGACGGCAACCTTTGTTGGCGTACCCACCGGACCAATCAGAACAACCACCAAATGTGTAGGGCGCACCCAAGAATATACCCTAGGCCACTCCTTATCGTGCTACTCCCCATACCCATCCGGGTCCTAAGAGCCTGCTCGCAGGACAGGTTGTGTTCGTTGGAGTTTGGACCTTTGTTTTGGTTGATTCAGGGACAGTCACACACATGCCAGGTTCGATCAATCAAACCGGGTGCCCAGTGCATTGCTGCTGCTCGACACCGGCAGCGGCAGCGCGAGCGTCAGCAAGCGTAAACCACGTCCATGGCCTTGCCCGCCCTCGCGTGCCAAAACCAGCAGCCTGGCCGCCAAGCGCGTCATCTTCTTGGTTTCTTCTCCTCTTCGCCCCCCTCCCCGTCCCATACGCATCCATGCGTCTTCACTCTTCAACCTGGACCTCTCTGTCTCCCCTTCGTCAGTCGATCTTCATCTTCTTCTCCGGCTCCATCACGTGTACACTTCCTACTCCCTCCTTGTATCCATACTCGGCGATCCAAGGAGTTTCTCGCTCCAGCAACACACACGTACTACGCCAGCGTCGCGCCCTCTGCCCCTCTCCCACGCCATGGCGTTCGGCAACATCCTCACCATTGCCGGTATCCTCCTGCTATTTATTGTGATCTTCGCCTTTGGCGTCGTCTCCCTGCAGTGCTGCTTCAACGCATGCCACTGCCGCCGTGCCCAGCAGGCGGCGGCGGCGTCGCAGAGCGCGCTGTGGCGCCGTGGTGGCGGGACGACGGCGGTCGGAGGTGGTGACCCGGAGCTGCTGCTGCTGCGCTCGCTGCCGGCCACGGTGTACCGCGCCGCGCCAGCGCCGCGTTCGAACAAGGAGTGAGGACGCTGTGGAGTGCGTGGTGTGCCTCGCGGAGCTCGAGGACGGGGAAGTGGCCCGGTTCTTGCCGTGCTGCAACCATGGATTCCGCGCCCAGTGCGTCGACACGTGGCTAGCATCCCAATCCACCTGCCCGCTCTGCCAGATCAACGTCGTCGCTATTGCTAGGCCCGGCATGGCGCCGGTGCCCGCAACAGCTACAAACGAGGAGAGGAGAGAAACCGGGCTCCCTGCCTCGCCCGGCGGAGGAGCGCACGGTTCGCCCTCTTGGTCAGAGCTGGAGGGGTCGAGAGGAGACGCGGCCAGGCCGGAGGTAGTGCATCCGTCGGCGGGCCGTGGAGTCTAGGTGGTGGAGATCCCCTTCTCTGGCGAAGAAGATACCAGGGTGGATCCGCCAGCCATCCTGTCGTCCCGGGAGCTGATGATGATCCGGTCGTCGCATGATACTGCGATGGCTAGATCTTCCAGCGGGTCGGAGGTGACCCGCGAGTTGGTGTGGCCTTGCCCCGGTGAGCCGGGAAAGGCCCGGTTCGTCCTTCGTGACGAGGAGGAAGCAAAGCTCTGGCACCTGCTTGGGGTGAGAGGACTATCGATGGAGTCCGATCTCGCCCTTTCCAAGGCGAGGCTTAAGGAGGCCTTGGAGAGGGTTGAGCTCGTCCATCAGGCCATGACAGTCGACCTGCCACGCGTTGCGAAGGTAAGTTCTCTGCGTTTTTTGTGTTGTCCCTGACTTCTTGGCCTTTTAATGGTTGTCTCAGCATGCCTGCTTCTTGCCTTACAGGATCTGGAGATGATGTCGATCCGTAAGTCCTGATTTCTTCGGGAGGAGCACGGTCGGATGGAGGAGGAAATAACGGCATCGCGGCGGGTCGACGAGCTCAGGCACCAGCTGGAGTCCGCCCGCCGTGAGTCCCAAGACCGGGCGGCCGAGACGACGGGAGCACGGGCGACGGAACTGCTTGCGGTTGAGCGAGTGGCTGCTGTCGAGCGGGAACTAGGCGCAGCGAAGGTCCACTTGGTGGAGATTGAGGCGGTGCTACAGAAGTCCTTGGAGATTCTGGAGGCGGAGCGGAAGGCCCGGTCGAACGCCGAACAAGAAGTGGTTGCGCTCCGGGGGTAGATGCTCGGGGTAGAGGAGTCGAACGCTCGACTGCTCTAGAGGGTGACCCGACAAGAGGAACGGCTCTCCATTCTCGAAAGCGCCCGCCTTGGTACGTACCTATTTTGCCCCCGGTTGATGCCTTGATTTTTCCTTTCATTTGCTTCTGAATTTGTTGTCTTTTTCCAGAACTGGGTGGAAAGATCGGCTCTCTGGAGCAGGAGCTGGAGACGGTCAAAGCAGCGGTCGGTCGGGGCGTGGAGGCGCTAGCCCAGTCCCTTGAGGAGCGACGCGCTCTCTAGGGGGAGCTCGACCAGATTCGCAACATCGCGTAGGTGGTCGGCTCCGAGGTGTTCGGGTCGGGACCGAGCACCAGTACACCCGTCGTCCAGCTGGCGGAGGTCCCGAATGAAGTTCGGGCACTCATCTCCGACGGCATGTTCTACGGGACGTCTAGGGTGCTGACCTCAGTGGTGACCCATCACCCCGATCTGGACTATATGATAATAAAAAAGGAGGGTGGTATCACACCCTCGTGGAGCCCCCGAGCGACCCAGGCCGAGAGTGCTCGGGTTGGGGTGCTGTAGGAGCAAACGTTTGAATGGAAAGAAAAATGGTAAGACCGAGTTTTAAGGGAAGAAGCAACATAACTGTTCGATGTTCCATGTGTTGGTGAGAACGTTGCTATTGTCATCCTTCAGCCGGTAGGTGCCTGGCCGGATCACCTCGGTCACCGTGTAGGGTCCTTCCCATGGTGGAGAGAGTTTATGTTTCTCTTTGGTTGACTGGGTCCTTCGGAGTACAAGGTCACCGACCTCGAGGATCCTCCCCCTAATTTTTCTTTCGTGGTACCTGCGGAGAGTTTGCTGGTAATGAGCGGAGCGGATGACAGTCGTCTCACGAGCCTCCTCGAGCAGGTCGACCGCATCCTCGGGGCGCCGTGATCGAGGTCAGAGGGCAACACCACTTCAGCTCCGTATGCGAGGAAGAAAGGGGTGAACCCTGTGGACCAGTTTGGGGTTGTTCTTCGGCTCCAGAGGATCGCTAGGACCTCTGCAACCCATTGCCCGGCATACTTTTTGAGTCGGTGGAAGATGCGGGGCTTGAGTCCTTGGAGGACCATGCCATTGGCCCGCTCGACCTGACCATTGGTACGCAGGTGTCTGACTGAGGCCCAATCGATCCTTATGCCATATCCATCACAGAAGTCCAGGAACTTCTTCCCAGTGAAGTTTGTTCCGTGGTCGGTGATGATACAGTTTGGAACGCCAAACCGATAGATGATGTCGAGGAAGAATATGACCGCCTCTTCCAAGTGGATTTTGGTGATGGGCTTCGCCTCTATCCACTTGGTGAATTTGTCCACCGCTACGAGCAGGTGGGTGAAGCCATCCGGAGCCTTTTTGAGGGGTCCGACCATGTCGAGGCCCCAGACCACGAATGGCCAAGTGATGGGGATGGTCTAAAGCTCTTGTATCGGTAGATGAGTTTGCCGAGCATAGAACTGGCATCCTTCACACCTGCGGACAACCTCCTCTGCATCTCGCAGCGCAGTGGGCCAGTAAAAATCTTGGCGAAAGGTTTTCTTGACCAGCGACCTTGGGGCCACGTGATGTCCGCAGATTCCGGCATGGACCTCGAGGAGGAGCTGTTTCCCTTGGTCGGTCGGGATGCACTTCATGAGTACTCCCGACGGACTTTGCTTGTAAAGTTCATCACCGAGGGCGACGAATGTCTTGACGCGTCGAGTGATTCATAGCGCTTCAGTCCTTTCCGGTGGGAGAACCCCTCAAGGAGGTAGGCGAGTAGTGGTGCTCTCCAGTTAGCCTGATCGAGTGCCACCACAGCGACATCGGCAGGCGACGTTGTC